GTTGTTAACAGAAACTGACAGGGTCATAAACTGAGAAACCAAAATTCCCTCGGATCTTTTGACATATAAGAGGTCATTGTACTATAAAAACATCCTGTAAGTTTCAGAACTCAAAACTTTCTCGTTAGTCTAAAAACAGCTTATATTGAAGGCAGTCTGTCAAAAACGACAGCTTGTGGAATGATGTCTCTATGATGTAATAGTGCTTCTACATCACTGCCTTTTTAGCCCCGCCCACCAATTCTACATCGTGCTTTGATGTAATAAAAAAAATTAAATAATATATGTACTTAAAAAAATATATAACTAAAAATGAGAGTTAGTGATGACTTGTAGAAGCATTCTTGCAGATTTAGCTGTATATATATCTCAGATCTCCAGTGTTGTGTTGATAAGTGATCATTACGGCCCAGATCTCAGTGTGTGTGTGTAGTTTTATTCCTGGAGCAGAGCTGCGGTCGGTTCTGAACAGCTCAGCATCTGTGAGCTGATGTAACGCCACACAGTAACACACTGATGACATCAGAACCAAGCACTTCCTGTTGCCTCAGCATCATCAGGTGGAATATAGCACACTTTTTCAGCAGTTTTTGCTCCCATTTAAAAAAACAAACAAACAAAAAAAAGTTTCATTTAAATGCATCCAAAAGCACACTTGAATTGTTGCATCTCCAGGCGTGCAGATCATCTCCTCAGAGATCCTGATACACTGAAAAAAAAATATTGTAGATTTACTTTGAAACAGTTTTCACTCAGAAACTGCTAGTAAATTTCACAAATAATCTCAAAGAAATGGCAAATAACACAATGAATTAAACATGAATTTCTGAAGCAGATAAACTAAAATTGTATTTTCCTGTACTACAATGATCTTTGTATTATTTCAATTTATTTTATAAAAGAATAATTTTTACAGTATAGATGTTTGTAGAATAAATTACCATTTTTTCCCCATGTTTGTATATTGTATATAATTTAAGAGTTAATACATTTTTATACAATGATAATTTTATTTAATATATAAAATAAAATTCATTAAAATTTAAATATATATTGTATAAAATATATTATATAATTATCTTTATATAATAATTGCATTTAATATTTAGTATGTAAAATATTAAATGTGAAATTAAAAGAAAAAAATATCGTATTTTCTTGTAAAACATGCTCCAATAATCTTTTATTTACAATTTCTAAAAATAAAAAAAAACATTATATACATTGGTTGAAGATCATTTTCCAAAAGGAATAAATGACCGTTTTTATCACACACAAAAAATAATACTACTTATAAAATAATAATACTTCCAAAACTTGACTTCCATGTAAGAACTTCAGAATAATTGCTGCAGAAAGGACGGCTGAGATACATGTGTGCATTACTCTAATGGCAAGCATCCATCTTTTTTCCATTTGTAAGAGTTCGTATTGCGCTGACCTTCAGCAGATGAACGGATGAAGCAGAGAAATGGCTTCACTTTAATTTATTTATGTTTAATGTGCGGCTCAGGTCTGTCCTGGCATCGCTGCTCTGTTTTAGACCACTTAAACCTGGGCAGGATCCATCGAGTCGCTGCAGTGGTTTCCATTAAAGATACGATGGGCCCCCGGCAGACCCCTGAGACCCCGAGAGCCAGCGCAGATCGCATTAGAAACCGCCAGCGGCCCCCGAAACACATAGTGCTCTGCAGAGTCTCAGCGTTTACTGCCACCGCGTGCAGATGGCCGCATTAAAGCTCATATCAGAAGTGTTTTATCAGGCTGGGGTTTAGCGCTCGCTCGTCCAGGTGCATTGATTACGGCTCCTGTAGGTTGTGCCAGTGCCAGAGCTTTGCCAGAATCAAAGTTTTAAGGCAAATCTGTCACTCTTCTATATATATGATTCAGGATTTAATATACAAAAATTCTAATTTAGATTTTTTAATATGTGTATATGATAATTCTCTCTCTCTCTCTCTCTCCCTCTCTCTCTCTCTCTCTCTCTC